AGTGAAGGAAATGGAAACTAGTTTCTATTAATTACTATTCTAATAGTTAATACTGGCAGCTGGAATTGAATGTCACATGTTAGAGCTACGAAGAGAAGCCATTTCAACTAATTAATTTACAGTCATATATTTAGAAACATGGTGTCTTCATGGATAGCAATGTGTCCTAGAAAAAACAGTTCTGAGAACTATGGGACAGAGATTAACGTGATAAAGTCATCTTCCACTCTTCATCGCCTCTCATATCATTCTTCCCAATACAGATTTCCCTTGACTTATGACAAGGTTATGTCCCAGTAAGCTCATTGTAAGGTGAAAGTGCATTTAATACACCTAACCCACCAAAAGTCATAACTTAGCCTAGCTTACCTTAAACATGCTCACAAATAGCTTAAATAGCCTACAGTTGGGCAAAATCGTCTAACACAAAGCCCATTTTATTAAAAATGTTGAAATACCACATATAATTTACTGAAGACTATACTGAAAGTAAAAAACGGTGGCTATATGGGTACAGAATGATTGTTTTTTTTTTTTTTTAAAGATTTCATTTATTTACTCATAAGAGACAGAGAGAGAGAGAGAGAGAGAGAGGCAGGCTCCCCGCTGAGCAGGGAGCCCAATGCAGGACTTGATGCCAGGACCCTGGGATCATAACCTGAGCCAAAGGCAGACGCTTAACCCAGGCATCCCAGAATGATTGTTAAGTGTATGGGTTGTTTATGACTGGGATGGCTGGCTGGGAGCTGAGGCTTGCTACCCCACTGCTCAGCCTCACAAAAGGGAATCATACCACATTTTACTAGCCCAGGAAAGGATCAAAATTCAAAATTCCAAGTAGTTTCTACGAAATGTGTATTGCTTTCACACCATTGTATAGTTGAAATCCTAAGACAAACCATTGTGTGTCAGGGATCATCTGTAATATCCTATTTTTCAAATACATATATTTTTTAAAATTTTTAATGGAAATGTGCATAGAAATTGAAATTTTCAAATAATAAAAAATAGAATATAGGGTGAAAAATCTTCATTCTACTCAAGACTCCCCAGTCTTCTTCCAAAAGGCAAACGCCATTACTGAATTTGTGTATCCTTCCAGAAAGATTCTCTCCTCCCCACCCAACAGTGTATATAGATGATGTTATACACACTATCAATAATGACAGAACCATATACTTAAATACACTGTTATTAAAGGCAGAAGAGTATTCCAAGGTATAGATGGAGATGTACCACTTTTCACTTAGACACGTGGGCAGTTCTTATAGTCATTTACAAATGCAAGCATGTGTTACAATGAACGTTTTCTTACCTATTGTTTTGTACATTTTATTTTGGTACACCTGTAGGCTACTTTCTAAAAGATAATTGTTAAAAAATGTATCTTAAATTTTGGAAGATATTTCCAATTGGTCCTTCAAAGAGAGTGTTTTAATACATAATCAATCAAAAGATTATCAGAGTATATTTATAAGGAACTGTATGAGGCAAGGAAGAAAATTGTCTATTTTATGCACATCTTTCTCTTCTGCCACTGACAGTAAATTTCTAAGATTGTAAATAACAAATTAAGTCTATAAGAGAATAAATAATCTTGGTGAAATTAACCAGTTTAGCTAACCATTTTGGGTTTGCTAAATATCATTGTATGATAATTTTGATTGCTGTAATTCCGAATGTACCAATCTGATAAAAAAATATGCTATATTACAGTTATTTAGCTTATCAATTACATAGAGAAATGATCATAAATGATGACTCATGTTTTTCCCACCAGGAGAAACTTTTCTGCTTTTAGGGATATGTGGTATATATAATTTAAATTTCAAAGACATTGAAAATATAATTTATATCTGAAAAGTGTGTTGTTTAGCAAATACGGTTGTATAGACTTCTTTTTTTTTTTTTAAAGATTTTATTTATTTGACAGAGAGAGATAGCGAGAGCAGGAACACAAGCAGGGGGAGTGGGAGAGGGAGAAGCAGGCTTCCTGCTGAGCAGGGAGCCTGATGTGGGACTCAATCCCGGGACCCCGGGATCATGACCTGAGCCGAAGGCAGACACTTAACGACTGAGCCACCCAGGCGCCCGGTTGTATAGACTTCTTAAGCTACTACTAACATGAAAATAATCTATTAGAGCTAATTTTGGAGGAGTCTGGAATCTAGCATTACATTTTATAATCTTAATTCACCAGTTAGGCTAACAAAAAGAAATTCAAGGTCTTCTTGCTTTAGATTTCAATAATGTTAATCAATATTTACGAAATGTCATTATCATTACCAAAGAATAATCTCTTTTAGGTTATTTCATAAGGGAATATAACACTTGACTAGGCATTTTAGTATTCTAAAGAAACCATACAATACACAAATGTAATATGATAAGATATTTTAAGAAATGCACTTAATATAAGAATTCTTCCGAAGAGTCCATAAAACACTAAAATGACAATTCCAGGTAATAATAAATATGAACTCACACAAATGTATGGTCAATTTCAAGTGAGAAGTATGCTCATTGTGGTTTGAATTTAAATTTTAATAAGGAGGTATCAGATTATGTCCATAATTCCCACTAATTATCACCAAATATATTAACATATATGAAATCTATCTATGAGGATAGATCATGAGCCAATTAAAATATGCATAACTATATTCACAAACATTTCGACAAAGATTTTCAACTTTTCACATCCAACCAACTGAATCAAATAATGTTTAATTTAGCATAATGCCCTTAATTCTGAACAGATCTATTTGATCAATCATTTCATTTTCTAGTTTCCAAAGTGTTTATGTAATCCTGTGCCTTCATTTGAGTACTGTGTGAAACCAAGTATATATATCATACGACTATATGTTTTAGTATGGCCTGAAACATAGATATGTTTGTTCTTGTAGCTAAAAGTCTTGGCTCAGATTTGATCACTGTTACATGATTCATTTATTTCTTTTCTAGGCCATAGTCAATATTCAAAGCAAATAGGAGTCCAAAGGCTAACAAATAAGGATTTTCCTTATTTCTATGATGGTTTTCCTCCCGAGTTCTTCTGTTTGGTCTCTGCATGTCACAGTATTTTCTCAAAATTCACTCTCCTGCAGAGCAGCTTATAGGGACACCTAGTGGTAAACCGTAACGGTGGCTTCTCAGGCTATCCTTAATGATTTAACAGTAGAGAGTTGTCATCACTTACTCATCTGGACCACAAGAAATAAACTGGAATATTTTTATGTCAGTGTTTCTAACAAAACCAGCATCTATAATAATTGCAAGCATGTTTCATACTTTTTACCTCGACAAAATTTATTTTTAATTGGGATAATAAATATTTAAAATGAAAATAATACAAAATCAAAAATTAAACCAAATTTTGATACTAAATACAATTATGAAGATTTAAAAAAGCAATGAAAGAATGAACTAAAATAGCTATTATACAGCTATTCTGAAAAGTCCAGTAATTGATTAAACCATTTTATACCCTTTCAGAACTTCTATGGAATTTGTCCACATCGAAAATTACGTCTGTGATAGAATGCCAAAAGTTTCCAAATGTAAATAATTTTTACAGTATTTTTTAAGTTATGACACTTTAACACATTAATTTAAAAATATAAAAGCAATATTATACTTTAAAAATAAGTTTTCTAAAATATTCATATCATGTTAGAAAACGATGACTAAATAAAATATACAGTAAAAGACTTTTGTGGGTGAAGTTTAAGTTGTCTGTTTATATAAGGTAACTGCAGCAAGTGGCTATCATTCCCGGTGCCAAATGTTTCTAAATTCACAGGTAGTTCTTTTATAAGGTTTTATTGTCATTATCAAATATTACAGGTTACTTCTTTTCTCCCCCTCTTGTACATGCCCTGAATTTAAACAAAATAAATTGTTTTCAAACAAAGCATGTATGGATTAACTGAAAAATATTTGCAAAATGGAGTGAGAAGAAATTTCAAGAAATGTTGCAAAACCTCAAGAGACTGCAATATAAACCACCTCTAGAGAACTCCTTCTAATTTCAACACAGAGAGAGGATGTGGGAAGATATGTTTGTATATATGTCAGAATCTTTATAATCCTATATTTAATTAAGATATTATAACCACAATAGTATCCCAAATATTACCAAGGAGACAATATCTATTCTAAGATGATTCCAAAAAGTAATTAATTCATAATTAATCATAAAATAAAACAGATAAAAATATTTAAGTGGTAAAACTACCCAGTTATCATAGAATAGGTACATGTGCACTCAGCCTCCACTGGGCCACTTACAGCGATCAACTTTTTTTCTATACCTGGGAAGGAATGCAGTTCTAATATTACAAACACTAGAAATATGCCTATGAATGTAAAGAACCCCTCTGGGGAGGGAGGTGTCTGGTTTCATGGAAAGAGACAGGAATACTTACTGTAGAGATGATGCTAGTGGAGTTTAGCAGGTGACTCTTCAAGAAACTCGCTTTCTATCGATACTGCATTTATTTAGGGGTTTCCAGCTTTTTAGTACACACCAAATGTATTCACAAACATTCTCTCTGAAAGTCGTTCACATTCCCTTGCATCGCTCAGACATACCTATAACACGCATTTCTTTTAGTATTTAT